TGTGTGTGTGTGTGTGTGTGTGTGTGTGTGTGAGAGAGAGAGATCCATCACTGTGTGTGTGTGTGTGTACCTGTTTTTCTATTCTGGTGGGGACTTAAACCTGAATACACACAGACTCATGGGGACTCGTGTCATGGTGGGGACCTAAATTGTGGTCCCCATGGGTAAACACATCGAAAATAAAATGTTCGATAAATCACATCGAATAACGTTTTTTGAAAATCTAAAAATGCAGAAAGTTTCCTGTGAGGGGTAGGTTTAGGTGTAGGGCAATAGAATATATGATCTGTACAGTAGAAAAACCATTACGCCTATGAAGAGTCCCCACAAGGATAGCTGACCAGACGTGTGTGTGTGTGTGTGTGTGTGTGTGTGTGTGTGTGTGATCCATCACTCTGAGATTGATTTATCAGCATCAGAGCAGAGGATCAGAGCAGAGGTCTTCTGTTCATTGAGACCAGTTCACACCAAGCACAGATTAAACACCAATATGAAGCCCTTTTCTGTGGCTGTGCATGAAAATGTCTGTGCAGATATGAATATGTTTGTACTCTACCTCTAATAGGGTTCTAGGTCAGTGTATATGTGACTGAATTACTGCAGTTCAATTTGCTTTTGCATTTTCAGTCATCAATTTTTTATATTTTGTGAATGGTTTTAATGCTAATTTTTAGATGCAAGAATTCAGAAAACACAAATCACACATTCTTGAGTGATGCTTTGGTTTTGTTTAATTTCATTTACATTTATTTCCATAGCATATTTAAAACAACTCATTGAACAAAAGGCCTCACACTGTAAAGCAATTGAAAAAAAACAGAAAAGTGTAATGTAAATGATTATTAATAAATTAAATTATATGTTCTACTTTAGCATCGAGATACTGTTGCAATTCTTTTCATATTTTGATTTCATTGTTATTTTTATAATTTCAGTTTCCATTTTAATTTTAGTTACTATATATTATTTATTAATTCGTTTTTTGTAAATATGTCTATATAGTTTTTATTAATTTGATTTATTCAGTACATCAAGGTAAACTAAATTAAAATGGGAAATATTGCTACTAGCTGAAATTGTTATTTCAGTTAATGTTTATTTCAAGCAACAGGAATGTATCTGTGTGTTTGTAGTTTTATTTAGCTAAAACAACCCTTTAACATGCTGTTTGTGGACCGTGTTTATGGTTTATGAATGCTGGATGAAGCTGTTTGTTGTTCCTCACAGGTTCAGAGCTCAGCGTGGATGCCGCCGCAGCAGTTTTTGATGCAGCCGACAGTAAGTGACCTCTGACCCCTGACCTTCCCTCTTTCTATGACTGGTTACAAACACAAGCCTAGCAGAAACAGCTTCTTTAATTGCAAGCATTAGCGAGGCTATATTATAATGAAAAACTATGACTGTGGAAAAATGTTTCTTGCTCAGTCTGACTGATTCTCAGAAGACACGAATTGTTATAAATGCTAAAAGTTTCACAGAGTTTAACAGAGGCATTGTGTGACAATATTTCAGTAAGCTCAAAAGAAAACAGCCTGTTATAAGTGTGTTTTATGCAGTGGGCATCGGATAAGTGTGCAGCTTTCTGAGAGCATGTGTGGTTTTAGACATGAAGGTTGTTTCTGTGTTTCATATGAGTTAGTTAGACACAATCGCAGAAACACACACTCTCTTATTCTCATATGAACTCCTAGAGCATGTTCCTCGTGCTGTTTCTCGAGTGTTTGCCATGTTAAAGTCATTGATTGAGGTCAGCACTGAAATGAAACCAGACAGACAGATCGGCCGCACAATATGGAATCAGCCAACCATAACCCACGGTTATATGACATTCACTAAATCAATATCACTGAGCTGAAGTTTCATTTATTTTTACACAACACAAACTCATCAACTTGACCGTAGCACTTTCTGGTGACCAGGTTCATGTGAACATAGGACGTCCTTCTTTATTTCTACAGGAAGAACACAATGTTATCAATGTGAAAAAGAAAAAAAAGGACACTGCAAATCATGAGTATCTTTATCTGGTCTAACTGGAAAACAAGACAAAAAAGACTGATCAAGAACTTAATTTTTTGCAGTGAGTAAATAAGTAGATGCTACATATGTGTATGTTTTCTGCCTCTGTGTGTGTGTAGGGAGCGGTCCTCAGTCCAGCTCTAGATCACAGTGCTGCATCAGCGGCCATAATGACTCCACTAACACAACAGATGAGTCAGCTGACACTGGGATCTTCTGCTAATGTGAGTGTATATGTGGGTTGTGTCTGCTCTCATCTCACATTTACTGAACACGAGACGTCACAAAAACATCAACAGTGTTTGGTCACTGTACTGTGTGGTCAGACGGTACAAATGGTTTTTGGTCAGAATAATATATATCAGACTTAATACTAGACTATTTACCAGAATATGTACCGGACGGAAAAAAATATGACTCTATACCAGAATATATACCGGACTATATACTCAACTATATAATGGACTAAAAGGCAGACTATATACCAGACTATATACTAAACTATATTCTAGAATATATACCAGACTATATACTAAACTATATTCTAGAATATATAACAGACTATACACTGATCTGTATACCAGACTATATAACAGACTATATACTGAACTATATTCTAGAATATATAACAGACTATATACTGAGCTGTATACCTGACTATATAACAGACTATATAATGAACTATATGCAAGACTGTATACCGGACTATTTACTGAACTATATTCTAGAATATATAACAGACTATATACTGAGCTGTATACCTGACTATATAACAGACTATATAATGAACTATATGCAAGACTGTATACCGGACTATTTACTGAACTATATACCACACTATTTAACAGACTATATACTGAAATATATACCAGCCTATATAACAGACTATATACTGATCTATATAACAGACTATATACTGATATATATACCGGACTATATAACAGACTATATACTGATATATATACCGGACTATATAATAGACTATATATTGAACTATATTCTTGAATATATAACAGACTATATACTGATCTATATACCAGACTATATAACAGACTATATACTGAAATATATACCAGCCTATATACCAGCCTATATACTGATCTATATAACAGACTATATATTGAACTATATTCTTGAATATATAACAGACTATATACTGAAATATATACCAGCCTATATAACAGACTATATACTGATCTATATAACAGACTATATATTGAACTATATTCTTGAATATATAACAGACTATATATTGAACTATATTCTTGAATATATAACAGACTATATACTGAACTATATACCAGACTGTATACCGGTCTATATAACAGATGACATAATGAACTATATGCAAGACTGTATACCGGACTATATAACAGACTAAATACTGAACAATATACTGGACTATATAACAGACTATATACTGAACTATGTACTAAACTCTATTGGACTAAAAACCAGAATGCATACCAGACTAAACCTGACTAGGTACAAATGGTTTTTGGTCAGAATAATATATATCAGACTTAATACTAGACTATTTACCAGAATATGTACCGGACGGAAAAAAATATGACTCTATACCAGAATATATACCGGACTATATACTCAACTATATAATGGACTAAAAGGCAGACTATATACCAGACTATATACTAAACTATATTCTAGAATATATACCAGACTATATACTAAACTATATTCTAGAATATATAACAGACTATACACTGATCTGTATACCAGACTATATAACAGACTATATACTGATCTATATGCAAGACTGTATACTGGACTATATAACAGACTAAATACTGAACAATACACTGGACTATATAACAGACTATATACTGAACTATATACCAGACTGTATACCGGTCTATATAACAGATGACATAATGAACTATATGCAAGACTGTATACCGGACTATATAACAGACTAAATACTGAACAATATACTGGACTATATAACAGACTATATACTGAACTATATACCAGACTGTATACCGGTCTATATAACAGATGACATAATGAACTATATGCAAGACTGTATACCGGACTATATAACAGACTAAATACTGAACAATATACTGGACTATATAACAGACTATATACTGAACTATGTACTAAACTCTATTGGACTAAAAACCAGAATGCATACCAGACTAAACCTGACTATATACCAGATTAAAACCTGACTATATACTGAACTAAAAACACAACTACATACCAGACTATATACCTGCCTGTATTCTAGATCTGACTATATACTGGAATATATACCCAACTAAAAGTCAGACTACATATATATATATATATATATATATATATATATATAACAGACTATATACTCAACTATAAACCAAACTGTATGCTGGACTAAAAATCCAACTATATACCAGACTAAACCTTAATATGTACCAAATTAAAACCTATATACCAGACTCTATATCAGACTATACACCGCCTTATATTCTAGACTAAGTACTCAAATATATACCAACTATATACAACTACGTACTCGACTGTATACCAGAGTATATACCCAACTATATGCAAGACTATACTGTATACCAGACTACAAGTAGGGCTATATACTCAACTATATACCGGACAATATACCGGATTGGCTCACATGTCTGTAAGCTGTGAGAAAAGAAAATGTATTTCACAGCGATTTTTTAGAAATAGTTCATAGTGTTTAGGGTTAATACTTGGAAGGTGTGTGGGTGTGTGTGTGTGTGTGTGTGTGCAAGATCATTTGGAAACTGGTTCACGTATCCCGTCTCAAGACACCCTGCCGAACCCTCTCTGTCATCAAACACACACCATCTGCCCTGTCTGTGTAAGTGTGAGAACAAACTGCAACACACACTTTCCTTTCAGACAACAAACGGCATCAGAGACTCTCAGGTTTAACGTTCTTTTCAGTATGTCAGACGTAAAATGCTGATGAGCCCAGCACTCTATAGAAATGCTCACTTGAATGTTTACGCATGTTCACTACAGGACTTGAATGAAAGCAGTTCATGTATGTTATGACTGTATGCCGGACTGTATTCTAGACTACATGCTGGACTGTATACCAGACTATATACTGCGTTATATACAAGGGCCATAACCACCATACATTGAGGGGACAAGTCCCCCCCCAATAATTAAAAATGGCCAATCTGCGCTGCACAATCTCTGCGATGGACGTGTGTGTGTGTGTGTGTATGTGGGTGTGCTTCAACGAAAGCACCACATCACTATAAAACAGTGATTAAACTGACTTGGAACTACCTGTGCATTAAAGTGCCCCTATTATGCTGTTTGAAATGTTTATAATTTGGTTTTGGGAGATTTCCCCACCAACAGGTTTACATGCATGCAAGGTCAAAAACCACTTTCATTTTCTTATAACATGCGTGTAAAGTTACCTTATTTCTCAACGACTCTTAACGATTTGTTCGAAGATTCCTCTTTCCGATCCCCTCCTTTGCATAATGTTACTCTGCTCTGATTGGTCCGATGACCCAGTCTGTTGTGATTGGTCTACTGCATACAGCGCATGTCTGAAACAGAACGCCCATCACCAGTACTGGAATATGGCTTATCAATAATACATCCTATTATAATAATAATAGTGCTCCACTCTGTTCTAATAAGAAAGAATCAGAGGGGAAAAAGTTGTTTTACACTTACTTAGTAAAGACCCAAACAATAATGGTATATGTGTTAGCCGAACACAGATGTAGAGTACTGATAAAGCACTGCAGTTTGTAAACCAACGTATTGCTCCATCCTTTATCATGACTGCAAGTAATAAGAACGACAGATGTTCTGTATTAATCGACACGTTTCTAGACAATAGCAGGCCCACAGCTGAGTCAGCCAGAGACCTACAGCTGCAGTGTTTACACAACACACAAAACAACATATTTTGCACGCTCGACAGAACATTCAAGCAACAATTATTAATATCATACTTACAGGTTGTGATTCGGAGGAGCAAACTGTTCCAAACAAACTGGGCACTGACCGATCTTTCAAAGACAGGCTTACGAATCATCGTCGTCAGTGAAATGACGGGAACACTGCTAAACGTTGTGATTATACTGCTGTGGTCTCTTAGTAAAGATTTTAACCACTGATTCTTCACAGCCTCATTTTGGAAGTGATAATAAACTGAATTCACTTTCACAGCGCAGAGCACAGCGTCTTCTCGACATTCTGTTATCCACACGAACCAGCTACAGCTTTTGAGGGTTGTTTCCGCGGGATGTCCTCGCAGAACTTATTATTATGCATTATGCAAATGTTACAGTTTGTGACGTGTGAACTTCCCGGAAATGGGATTTGAATTTAAAACGACTCGTTTCAGCGATTCAGAGTTGACTCTTTGTTTAATAGAGACGCACTTTCAGCTTTACAACTTTGCAGACTGTTTACATTCACATACAGCTACATTACACACTGCATGAAAAGTCATTTTCAAAAATCCATAATAATAGGGACACTTTAAACGGTTTTAACCCTAAAAATGGCAGGACCATAAAGAGGCATCAGAAAATTAATTTATTGCTATTTTCCGTCTTATTGGGACACAAATAATATAACTTGATAATTTTTTTTCAAAACATGACTTTTAATTTTGATTTTAATGTTCCACAGGATACGTTGCCAGTTTTAGCGTTAATGCACACCTGTATATGTATGTTTGTGTGTGTCTGTGTGTTTATATTGTAAGTTTGTCCCCTCCAATGTTCAAGACATGGTTACAGCCTTGTTATATACTATATATACTGGACTATTGTGTGTGTGTGTGTGTGTGTGTGTGCATGTTTATGTGGTTTATGAGGACACAAATTTGCATAATAACATGGGTATGACATAGGTATTACAACGAGAAGGTGATTTATGAGGACATTTTCAGTGTCCCCGTAATTCAAAAGGCTTATAAATAATACAGAATGAGTTTTTTTGAAAATCTAAAAATGCAGAAAGTCTCCTGTGAGGGGTAGGTTTAGGGGTAGGGTTGGTGTAGTGCAATAGAATATACGGTCTGTACAGTATAAAAACCATTACGCCTATGGAGAGTCCCCATAAACCATAAAAACAAACCTGTGTGTGTGTGTGTGTGAGTGTGTGTGTGTGTGTGTGTGTGTGTGTGAACCATCCATTACACACACACACGCAGGACAGCGTGATCTGCGGCTCTCGATCAGTCGACGCCCTCTGCAGTGCAGCGAGAGAACTGCATGTGTGTGTTATCTAGTGCTGATCTGTGTGTGTTTGTGTTTCAGTATATAACGGCTCCGGCTCCTGTGGCCCCTATGCAAGGAACATTCATCCATCAGTTAACGCCGGGCCCTCCGTCAGCACTTCCTGTAGAGGTAAATCATGCATATTTCATGAGTTTTACAAATACTAGGGCTGCACAATTTAGGCAAAAGATTGTTGTATGTCAATATGATGATGATAATAATAAGTGTAGTAACAGAAGTTCCTCTCCAGACGGTGGCTGCCTCTTCACAGGACGTCCATTTAACACAGCAACAGATCGCCATGGAAACCAGTGACTATATTCAACCCTGCTCCTACCAGTCCAAGTGCGCACTACGTCCTGTGCACTGCACCCTACATACTTCACATCTACCTACAGTCAACTTCACAAACAAGGACAAAACCAACTCATTCCATTCAACTCACAACCTGATGACCGTATAGTAGGCCTTAAATAAATAGTATATATTTATCAATTAATTCATTAATTTCATCCACCATTCGACCTGAAGACCTTACATCCTTTTTATTTGTATTTATTTATTTAATTAATTAATTAATTTAATTTTTTGTCAAAACTAAAATAAAATGAACAGTTGTTAATGACGAGTTAATGCATTGGTAATCATTAATATAGGTTTAAAAATATACTGCTAAATTATTTTATTTTATATTTTATATATTTTTTATATTTAATGTGAAAATTAACACTAATATTATATATTAGTAAAATAAATACTATATTATATATTAACAAATTAATTTAATGCACTTTACAACCGGATGACCTTTCAGGCCTTTTATATTTTTTAATAGTCAGAACTGAAATAAAATCGTTAGCATTAGCTAATGAGTCATTTAATGCATTTGGAATATAAGTATAAAAATATACTATTAAATTAATTAAAGATAGTAACTTGAAATGTGACAAATGTTACTATTGTAACATTATATATAAATTAACATTAATAATATAGATTAATAAATGCTATAGTACATTAATTAATTAATTTAATGATGACCTTACAGGCCTTATATACGTGTGTGTGTGTGTGTGTGTGTGTGTGTGTGTGTGTGTGTGTGAGAGAGA